TATCTGCGCATGTGGAAGAAGGGAGTTTCCCACCAAGGCCAACTGTCCAGCATTCCATCCTGATGATGCTTTTTGAAGACATTTCCCACCTGACGGTTAGGTGAATTATTATTGGACTATGAAATGGGGTGCCGAGGGGAGGGGATTGAATTATACATGATATCTATTGCTTTCACGCCAATTTACTCAGACTCAGCTTTGCTTTGCTACTCATCGTTTGTAATTAGTAAAAGTACACTTAATTCTAAGCATGGAGTTGAGTGGTTTCTTTCTTGATTATTAAACAAAGGAGCACCTGACAGTAATACTTATTAGCATTTTAAAAGATTATATGCAAAAATTATAAAGTTTATCCACTTCGGGCAAAAACAGTAAAAAATGGATACATCACACCACGTATGTTTATGGAGACTCTTCCATGGCTAATTTACCTACTATTGCAGAATAAACTTTTCTTTGTACCTGTTGGCCTCCTCTACTCATTGGGTATGGAACTGTTATTCCACAACAAGCATCTGAGAATTTATGGTGGCAGTGAAGAAAAAAAAAAACTAAAACAGCTGGGAAAATAAAATTCATCTGGAGAAACATTAAATTTGAAGAAAAATTATCTGTTAATCCTAGGATTATTGTGTTACTCCAGTTTAAAGGTAAAGATTCCCCTCGCACATATGTGCTAGTCATTCCCGACTCTAGGGAGTGGTGCTCATCTCTGTTTCAAACCTGAAAAACCAGCGCTGTCTGAAGACCTCTCTATGGTCATGCAGCTGGCATAACTAAACACAAAAGGCTCACATAACGCTGTTACCTTCCCACCAAAGGTGGTTCTTATTTTTCTACTTGCATTTTTACATGCTTTCGAACTGCTAGGTTGGCAGAATTTAACCTCCAATTTAGAGAAAACTAAATAAAGTGAGATGCCACTTTCATACCACTGTGACAGGCAAAGTTATTTCACAAATTGTGAAATCAAATTACTAAATCACAGTTAATAGCAATTTAATGTAGGGATCAAGTTAATTTTGAACAAAATCTCTTAAGCCCTGTTGAGCTAGTGGAAATGTATACTTATAGTAGGGCTGATAGTGAAGAAAGATAACAAGTGGGAAATCTTTTCTTCTTAAACTGGTGATAAGCATCATGTCGGCCACTGAACAGAGGTAATCCTCCCATAATAACCATTCATCAGAGATTCCAAATATATCTTATCCCACGAAAGATGCTGATTTGACAATAGATGCATAAGAAGGAAGTATAAGAGATGAATCCTTAGGGGCCCAAACCTTTTTTTCAGTCTTCTCAAATGTAGAAAGATTGCCTTCAGGTGTTTTCCTTCCATTTGCAGGGACACTCTTTGGCCTAGAGGCCTTCTTGAACCTCTGAGTCCTTTTATGGCCAACATCTTCCATCATCTGCAGAGATATTAAGTAATTAATTTGAAATTGCTTCAGGTGGTAAGAAAGCCACTGTCACGGCGGCCTCCCTCAGTAACCAAGAAAGAAACCACTCAACTCCATTTTGCAGAATTAAGAGTACTTTTACTGGTTATAAGTAGATAGCAGCTAGGCAAAGCAAGTTCTGAGGCAAAAGCGCGCATAATCATAGATATCAATATGTGACCCAGCCCTTTCCCCCTGGTAACCCCATCCCATAGTCCAATCCGTACACCCCACAGGTGTCATGTGAGAGACATCTTCAAAAAGAATCATCAGGTTGGTATGCTGGACAGTTGGCCTTGGCGGCAAATCCTCTATCTGCAACATGCGCAGTAGATGGCGAGAACAACTCCCTTTTTACAGTCACTCCTGTACTGACACTTCCCCACCCAAATACAATGCCCCCCCTCCCCGTTTCAATGGCAACTGAAAGCAAGCAGCAAAACAGAGGCTGACAGCCACCTTGATTTGATTTTTGAGGAAAAGAAGCTTCTCCCTTGTTTTGGAGGCTTTTATTTTAAAACAGAATTATAGAAACATTATCTGTATTTAAAGATAGTGTTTAATATTTGAATGTAAACATACCTGAATTTCCACATCATCCAAAGGTGTGGAGTTTAATATGTCAGTATTTAGGCTGTTTGAAAACACTGCATCTTCTGAAGCACCTGAGGTGGAAGAGCATATGCCTAAAGGAATTCAAATATCAATAGGTTAAAATGGTTAGTGACTTGCACAGTAAAGCATAGATCATTCAGAAGCCATTTTTAAATCAATACAGTCTGTTGCTGTTAGCTAGCAAAAGGAATCTATTCTTCAGTTACTAGATGCCTTCTTTTTACATATTTTACCTTTTACATACAAAAATGGAGCAGTATTCTTGTCTACGCACTGGTTAGACTTCAATATGGGTGTGTTTCTTCCATGGTTTTGTTGCTGATCAGAAGTCAACTGAGGTGAGGCCTACGGCAAAGAGGCAACTTTTTAAAGAATAAACATATTTTTGCACAGATCATTACTTGAAATGTCTAGATGTATAAAGAGTTGCCCATATCAGTGAAAGCAAGACTGACACACAATTAACAACAGTAGTAATTACTCTATATACCCATATTTTTCGGAGTATAAGACGCACCAAGATTTTAAAGAGGTAAATAAAAAACAGTTTTTGCACTCTGCAGATCTCCCAAACCCTCTGCATGCCTCATTTGTTGTGAAAAATGGGGCATGCAGAGAGTTTGAGAGGCCTGCAAAGTGCTCCTGGTGGCTGAGGGGAGCCCAAAAATGAGCAAGAAGCAGCCCATTTTTCACGAAAACGGGCCCTTTTTTGCCAAAAAAAAAGGGCATGCATAGCCTTTAGGAGGCTTGTGGAGTGCTGGTGGCGGCTGGGAGGGAAAACAAGCAAAAAACGGTCCATTTTTTGCTCGTTTTTGCCTTCCCCAGAAGCTCTTTGCAGGCCTCCTAAAGGCTATGCATGTCCATTTTTGTGAAGGGGGCAGAGTTTCGGAAGACAAAAATGCTGTATTCAATGTATAAGACACACCCAGATTTTTACCCTCAGAGGGGGGAGGTGCATCTCATACTCCAAAAAATGCAATAATCCTTATTCAGTGATATCTTCTCAAAGCTCCAGCCTGAATATTCAGTTCTTAAAGTTGTTCCCCAAATTATGTTATCAGATAGGATAAAACTGTTCTAGTGATAGAGATATTGGGGATTTTATAGACAACTTGAAGATATATTCCAAAAAGATAGACTTTCATGCCATTACTCTCTACATTGAGGACCCAAAAAACAGACCTTTCCACAATAAGGCTGTGCCAATCAGAGACTGATACCATGCCCCTGAGGCTTATGTAGGAGCCGAAGTGGCGCAGTGATTAAATGCAGCACTGCAGGCTACTTCAGCTGACTGCAGTTCTGCAGTTCGGCTGTTCAAATCTCACCGGCTCAGGGTTGACTCAGCCTTCCATCCTTCCGAGGTGGGTAAAATGAAGACCCGGATTGTT